CTTATGGGATGAGTTTAAAGTAATACAAAGATGGGAATTTATAGTGATAAATGCCTACATTAAAAAGAAAGATCTCAAATGACAACCTAACATTATATCTCAAGAAACTAGAAAAAGAAGATTAAATTAAGCCCAAAGTTGGCAAAAGGAATGAAATGATAAAGATTAGAGCAGATAAGTGAAATAGAGAAAAGAAAAATAGGAAAAACCAGTGAAACTATGAGTTGACTTTTTTGAACAAACATGAATAAATTTTCAACCAAACTAAAAAAGAAAAAAGATTCAAAATAAAATTAAAAATTATAAAAGAAACATTGCAACTGATGCTGAAGAAAGAAGGATCATAAGAAAGTAACATCAGTAATCACATACTAACAAACTGAATAACATAAAAGAAACCAATAAATTACTATAAACATACAACTATCCAAGACTGAATCACGGAGAAACAGAAAGCCTGAACACATCTATCAGTAGTGAGGAGATTGAATAGGCAACCAAAAACCCACCACCACCAAACACACCACCACAAAAGTCCAAGATTATATCATTTTAACGGCAAAGTCTACCAAACATTTATAGAAGAATGAATGCCCATCTTTCTCGAACTTTTCCAAAAAATTATAGAGGAGAGGGTACTTTCCTATTCATTTTCTGAGCCTTTGATACCAAAGCCAGACAAAGATACCAAAAGACAATAAAACTACAGGTGGGGCGGGGCGGGGTGGAAGGGGGTGGTGGGGCAGGGCAGGAGTCGTGGCGCCAGACGCCAAGGGAAGGGACTATGAGAGTCGCCAAGGACACTCAGGAGGACCACGACACCTCCACTGAAAATTCAGATGAGATGAGTCCAGTCACGCCCCCCAGTTTGAGCTGATAGTTTCTCTTCCTGAACTTGAAATGAAAACTCTGGAGGAAGACCAAGAGGAACTTTTGAAGAGGTGGGCAAGCTTTTCCCATTGGCTTCCGAAACGGCCTCCCAGAGGGAGGCACGGCTGATGTCAAGCTCCTCAAGCATAAGGAGAAGGGACCATCTGCCTCCTCTTGAGGAGGGACGAGACTCTGAAGATCCATGCCCCACCACTACACCACGCCGATGATGGAGTTGAAGCCCAACACAGGCAGTGACAGTGCCTGGGGCTGGAATGCCCACGCCGACTTTGCTGACGAGTGCTCCAAGCCGGAGCTGCTGGCCATTGGCTTCCTGAACGCTGAGAATGCGCAGAAAAAGCAAAACAAAGCCTGAAGAGTGCGGGAGAGAAATAGAAGAGCAAGGAAAGAAAGGATCAGGCAAGGACAATGGTGCCGAGGTGGCAGAAGGCTGGGAGGCTCTCTCAGGGAACCAAGACACCAAGGAGGAGGCTGAGGAGAAGCAATAATGGTCTTGTCTTATTTCCTTTCCTTTTCTTTTTCTTGGTTTTTTTTTCCCTCCTTTTTTAAATTTTGCCCTGCCCTTCTCTTTGGTTTGTTTTTATTCTGTTTTGCTTTTGCAAGGGACTTTATATTATGAACTGAATTCCAACATTCAGGGTTTTTCCCCTCTAAGTTTTTACCCTACTGAAGATGACTTCAGAAAATCATTCCCCAGTCAAGAAAATGCACTGTGCTAACTTTCTTTTCCATTCTGGAAACATTTATTTATAGTCATCAAAACTAGTGAACAAAAAAACACATTTGGAACCCGGAGGAAAAAAAAAAAAAAACTACTGACAATATTCTAATAAACATAGATTTAAATAAAACTCAACAAAATACTAGCAAACTGAATTCAACAGCACATGAAAAGGGTCATACACCATGACCAAGTAAAATGCATCCTTGCGAAAATCAATGAACATGATAAACCACAGAAATCACATAGTCATTTCAATACATGTAGAAAAGGTGTTTGATAAAATTCACTACCGTTAGTGAAAAAACAACAAGCTAGGAATAGAGGGGCAGTATCTCAAGGTAACAAAGGTCATGTATTGAAAGCCTATAGGTAAAATATTCAAGGATGAAAAAACTAAAAGTATTTCCACTAAGATCAGAAATAAGACAAGGATGCCCACTCTCATCACTTATATTCAACATAGTACAAATTGCTTAGACTGAGAAATTAGGCAAGAAAGAGAAATGAAAGGTATCCACACTGGAAAGGAAGAACTAAGATTTTACCTGTTGGCAGATGCCATGATCTTATAAGTGGAAAACCCCAAAGACTCCACAAACTCATACACAAAACTGCTAGAACTAACATAGAACTAATAAATTTAGTAAAGTTGAAAAAATACAAAATCAACATATGATAATCAGTTGCATTTCTATATATGAGTCACAAACTATCTAAAAGGGAAATTGAGACTACAATCCCATTACAACAGTATCAAAAAGAATAAAATACTTAAGAATAAACTTAACTTTCACTTAAAAAGACATACACTGAAAACTATAAAACATTAAAAAACTTTTTAAAAAACTAAAGAAGACAAATAAATGGAAAGATATCCCATGTTCATTGATTATAAAACTTAATATTGTTAAAATTTGTATATCACCCAAAGCAATCTACAGATTTAAAGCAATGTCTATCAAACTATCAATGGCATTTTTAACAGAAACAGAAAAAACAATTCTAAAATTCACATAAAATCAGAAGAGGTGCCAAATAGCTAAAATAATCTTGGAAATGGAGAACAAAATGGGAAGCATTATACTTCCTAATTTCCAGCTATATCATAAAACTACAGTAATTAAAACAGTATTATACTGGCATAAAGACAGATATGTAAACCAATGGAACAAAATGGCCCAGAAATAAATCCACACACATACAGTCAACTTATCTTCAACAGGGTGCCAAGAATGCACAATAAGGAAAGAATAGTCTCCTCAATAAACAGGACTGGGAAAACTGCATTTCCATATGCTAAAGAATTAAATTGAACCCTTATTTAACACCATACACAAAAATCAATTCAAAAGGATTAAAGGCCTAAATGTATGACCCCAAACTGTAAAACTCCTAGAAGAAAACATAGAGGAAAACCCTTAATTTTATACATGAAAACATTTTAGAATAGACATTGATTTGGCAGTGATTTCTTGGATTTGACACCAAAAACCCAGGCAAAAAAAAAACAAAAATAGATAAGGGGACTACATCAGAGTAAAAAGTTTTTGCACAACAAAAGAAGCAATCAGCAGAGCAAAATGCCAGCTAGGGAAAGGAGGAAAAGATTTATAAACCATTTATTAGATAAGCTAATCTTCAGAATACATAATGAACTCCTAGAGCTCAATAACAACAAAAAGAATAATCCAGTCTTAAAAATGGACGAAGAGTTAATACAGACATTTCTCCAAAGACATATAATTATAGTCAAATTCAGAGAGGCAAAGAATATACAGAATGGTGGTTGCCAAGGGCTAGGGGAAGTTGGAAAGGGGGAGTCACTAACCAATGGTACAAAATTTCAGTTGTGTAAGATGAGTAGGTTCTAGAGATCTGCTATGCCTATAGATAACAGTACTGTATTGTGCTCTTAAAAATCTGTTAAGAGAACAGATCTCATGTTAAGTGTTCTTATCACAATAAAATAAAAATGTAAATAAAATAAAAATTAAGATAAATTACCACGCAATAAACAATATTCTGGTGTAACAATTATTCTAAGACTGTTCCAAAAATGCTACAAATTCCAATGCAAACTTTGAATGTCGATCAAAATAATCTGAAGATGTTCCAAAACACATTCCCTACCCAATTTTTTTAATTTAATTTTTTAACTTCTCAGAAAAATGTTAAAACCTGATCTATAACTTCTAATTTGGCTGTATTTACCCAATGACTCACTAAAGCACTTTGCTGCTTAATACAATAACATCATTGAAAATCCATAATTTGGATTCGATCACTGTGGCATTTTGCCAACAGGGCTGATATATCTAGTCTGATCTATTTAAGTTCTTGTCTAATGACACTGGTGTCCCAAAACACTCTTTGTACATTGGCCATTTTGTATGTTAGGCATTCTGTGTGGGACCAAGGAAACAAAAGTCATTGCTATGAGTACTGTTTTGGCCAAGAAGCCTCACCATGATTCATAGCCAGGGCTAGTTCACATTACTGCAGATTGTTTCCTGGTGATTGTCTGTGACTACAAAGAAGGTCAGATAAAAGTGGAAATATTCATCAAAAGACACCTAATACGATATTTATTACAGGTGCCCACTGATTCCTGGCCTCCTCATCCTACAGGGAGGATAGTACATGGCTGTCTTACCAGGCACTCCACCTTGATCAGGGAAAACAACTGCGGCAGTGGTGGGGCAGATGTACAAAGCTACCCATTTACTATATGCAACCCAGATGGTTTCAAAATCATCCTTTCCTATAGCGTCAATTTCAAACCTGCACTTATGAATTTACTTTTGTCACAGATTCAAGTGTCAAACAAAATAAATGTTTTAGATAAGATATTATAGGTCCAGATGCAAATGTATTTAAATGTCTATCTTACTATTTCAACTATGAACCTGAACATTTCAGTGAGATAAAAAATATCCAGGTACACTGTAAACACATGCAAAGTAAACAAGGAAAGATCAGATTTTGTGGTCACATTTACAATGAATTTTCTCCCTTCCTTATAACCTTGGCTATTCTGATGAAAATCTTTGTCAAATGTTATATAATAAAAAGTTTTGACTATAAAGAAGATTGGATTTTTTGGTAGCTCTGATTTATAATTTTATGTCTACAGGTTTTAAAAAAGGCCTCTGTTAAAGAATAAAAGCTAAAGCAATTAACTAAATGGAAAATGTGATTTCTGTAACTACATTTCATTTCAAAATGATAGGAACAGTATAAAAATCCCATGCTTAAAAATAAATGAAAAGTTACCAACTATCTTTGATGTCAGTTTGAAGACTCTTAATTCTCCTTTTCTTGCCTATGTTTCAATAACTACATGAGGCCATTCAATTCTTCCCTTTATACATACAGAGTAAAATACCTTTATGTCAGGAAATTGGCCCAGGTAGGTATCCAGTGTCAGCAAGGACCCATCCACTAGTTTTTGATGGAAGTCTTCCCATAATACATCACATTTCTAAGGAAAAAGAGAAATAAAGAAACAGCTGGTGAATTATTTTAATTGGATACTTCTCACCAAAGTTTTTAAAAATCTAAAACTGCAAAATTAGACAAAAATATTTTCCCAAATATCAGATGCTAAAAAGAATGTAGATTATTTAATAATGCAATAAAATTTTAAGGCAGTTTGGCCAACTAGTTCTAATTAATACAGGCTAGCTACGAGCTCTGCTCATTAAAAATGTATTTATGGGCTGGGCACAGTGACCAATGCCTGTAATCCTAGTACTTTGGAAGCTGAGGCAAGAGGATCGCTTGAGGCCAGACCAGCCTGAACAATATAGTGAGACCTCATCTCTACAAAAAATTTAAAAAAAAAAAATTAGCTGGGCATGGTGGTACACACTTGTAGTCCCAGAGACTCTAGAGGGAGAATCTGGGAGAATCTTCAGTCCAGGAGTTTGAGGCTGTGGTGAGCTGGTATCATGCCACTGCACTCCAGTCTGGGTAGCACAATGAGATCCTGTCGTCAAAAAAAAAAAAAGTCCTCAGCAGGGCTCTGTGGCTCAGCCTATAATCCCGTGCCTTGGGAGGCTGAGGTGAGTGGACTGCCTGAGCCCACGGGTTCGAGACCCGCCTGGGCAACTTGGCGAGACCTCATCTCTACAATAAATCAAAAATCAGCCGGGCGGGGTAGCCCGCACCTGTAATTCCAGCTACTTGGAAGGCTGAGGCGGAAGGATAGCCGGAGCCCGGCAGGTCGAGGCTGCGGTGGCCAGGAGCGGCCACTGTACTCCAGCCTGGGCGACAGAGTGAGACTCCAACTTAAAAAAAAAAAAGTCCTCATATCTGTATAGATGAACTTTGGGCTAAGAGATCAAGAAGAATTCCACTGAGGCAACTTATTTCCAAAGTAATCCATGAAATTAGAAACCACCCCAGATAGAAGCAGACAACAAACCATTGTTGAAATCTCCACAGGGAAAGCAGAACAGTTACAGCCACACAGGGCAGGGACTTGCCATTTAAGGAGTACCAACTATGATTAAACACACAATACTAGTTGTTATTATTACAACTACTATTATTACTATCACTATGTCAAAGCATTGGGTTAACCATTGCGCATATGTATGTTAACGTGCATGGTCATTTAACTCTCACAATAGTTCTAAGAGAAAAAGCTTGTTATTGCCACTATCCAGAAGAGGTTTTATTGAAGTGGAGAGATGTCACATAACTTGACCAAGACCATTTAGTTGATCAATGACAGACACAGGTTTCAACTCAGTTCTGTCTCTTTTAATTCAAAGCCTCACCAGAGCAGGCTTTACACCTCCATCATGTCACTTTGGGAAACTGAACCTTCCTAAATTTCAGTGTCCCAAATTAAATGAGTTGATCGTGTAAAGTGCTTCACAGAATCCCAGGCAATAGCAGGGACTCAAGAATGTCAATTACACATTTCTCTCAGTGCTACATTTGGGTTCTCCTGATTGAATATGTTGCTTGTTCTCTGCCCTATCTTTCTTTTTAGTAATTGAACTTCCAATTTTAGCTGGGCACATGGACAATAAGGATAAAGGCTCTATTTCTCGGACTCTGTTGCAGCTGGGTGTGGTCATGTGACCAAGTTTTGGCCAATGAGACATATATTCAGTAAGTATCTTATAAAGGACGCAGTGGGCTTGTCTTCCAGCCTTTCTCCTTCTTGCTGACTGGAATGCAGAATGAGGGATGATGGCCAGTGCCCGGAAAGTAAACTTGAACCTGAAGGAGGCAGGGTAAGGATGGTAAAAATGGGCCCCTGATTCTTGTGGGTTCACCATGCCATACCTGGGCTGCCTACTTTCAAATTCCTTTATGTGAAAGATGTTTCTATCTTGTGAAAGAAAATAATTATTATTTTGGTTACAAAAAACAAAAAAATTGAAATCCATTGTTTTAAAAGGCTTATCTTCCGATGTGACTAGACCCTCAGAACATGCAGTATTCAGTTACTTCATCAACAAAAGGACCCATATTGGCATCTACAACTGAGGATTCAAAAAATTGTGGCATCTACAAGAACCAAGAACCATGTCCTTAAAAAATAAATGTCAATCATGGCATTTACCGTCCATAAGAGGTAAACACAATGTTCTGAAAGTTTTTATTATTCTTTCAAGTTTCATTATTCCTTTAAACATTCTTAAAATCCTTTTTTACAATTAATTTTTAGTTACACACCATTAACTAGAAATTTACAAGATATTTAGCAACATGATGCTGAAACACAGTGTTTCAATATTGAAGAAACGTGAGAAGATGGAATTACTTAATAATTGCATTTGAACATGGTGTGTACAGCTGGTTTCGCCAAATCCACATCCTGAAATTTTTGAAGTATGTAATATAGCCAACAAGAGCTTTCCTCATATATAAATCTCTGTTTTTATTTCAGGCATAAGACTATGAACATCAATGTCAGGACATCAGAACTACCATGAAGCCGCCTAGGATTCAACATTTCTATCTTTCCCAAGGCTCATCTCACGTCAGACCTTACCCTGAATTCTTACTGTCACATCTAGTTTAGGTCTTCTGTGCCTAAATGAGCTGCAATAACTGACCTGAAGTAGGAGACATGACAAACCACTACCCTTTGTTTTAACAAAGCACTTGGATATGAGAGAATCCATGACCAGCAACTGTCTCACATTTATAATCACAGCATGCACCAAGTGCTGACTAAGTAGAGACCATGCACACAAAGGCATTAACTATGTCATTCATAGATGCAATTATTATTCTCATTTTGTAGATGAGGAAACCAAAGCCCAAGAAGGTTAAAGAATTGATCCAATGCCACACAGAGCTACTCTTGGTTTCTTGCCACCCTGCTTTTCACAAAGCAGGAATGCCCATTTGCTCACTTCCCACCAGCCAGACGGCCCTCAGCTATAAGTCTGATTTCAGGTGTGAAGATATGTCTAGGGCCAAAGCCATGATGAAGTCAAATTCCTTTTAGCAGGCTGACTCTGTGTCTATCCTCAGGTTCTGCAGATCAGTGAAGGTCCCAGCCGGTGGAATGAACACTCTTCTGAGTCCCTGTCCCGGCAGTCAGGGAGGGATAGTTCAGCAGGGAGATTAAGGGCAAAGGGGTGAAGTTCGTTCACAAAATTACACCATGATGCAGTTCTGCTAGCAATGGGCTGTTAAGACTTATAATGAGGACAGAAAAGTGATATTGTTGTTTTTTATAAAATAATCTTTCACACACAGTTTGCTACCTAAGTGGTTATATAATCATCTTCACCTCTCACTATGAGCTTGGGATGATCCAGGTAAAAAGAACTGCCCAGTGCCTTCTGGATATACTGTCTCCCCTCACGATTAAGATTGTGAAGTGAGAAGAGGGATGTCAAGGGGTGGTAGAATGAGGAGGACTTGGTGGGGGCCCCCATGGAAGCCACCCCAGGCCTCCTGTATGCTGCCACCCTGGCTCTTACCTCGCCAACCATTTTCACGTCTTCCCGCCCATACCAGTCAGGCTCATAGACTTCATGCAGTGACTCAGTGAGCTTCATGGAGGCCTCTTGCATGCCTAGCATTGGAGAAAAACAACTCCTGTTACAGAGAAATGGGTGAGGAGTCTCCTCCCTCTTCTCCCATTTTTTTTAAATGAGAGAAAAATCTTGAGCACTTGCTAAATATTTAAGGAAAAATTACAAAGGCAACTGCTGCCTATACCTGTAGTCACATCTTTCCTCAAGGATCTCTAAGACTTTTTGCATTAGGTATTTTCTATTTTTGGCATTATAATGATAGATAACTAGATACAGGATCTTGGAAAAACTGGACAAGTATTCCATTCTGAAAACCACAACAATAATTATGTGTCCTATTATGTGTGCTATCACTTGGTAAATGGCAAACCATACATGTAAAGGATACTGAAAATACTGGCCCATAAAATTGCAGAGTTCTGAAAACAAAGTTAGTCCTAAATGAATTCAAATGCAAGAAACAAAGCATTTTTAAATGCTGATAGATGTAAAATCAACAGGATTGTAGGGCATAACAGTTGAAGGTGATCAAGCAGACTAAAATGGTAAAAATGATTAAAGTGGTTGTTTACACAGCCTAAACATTTGTTAAAGAAAAAAAGTTTGCCTTTCTCTAATACAATAAGTCCTTACGTTATGTCATCTATAAGTTCTTGAAAAGTATGACTTTCAGTGGAATGAAGTATAAGGAAATCAACCTGAGCACAAGCTAATTCATATAAACAATAGTTAAGTTCTTATGGTATATTTCTGGTCACAAACATATCACCAAACTTGTTTTTGTTTTTGTCATTTTTTTATTTTAAGGATGTGGGATACAATTCAGGATTAGGTATACAAGTGGTCATCATACAGGTAAAGTTTGGGCCTTCCCTTTGTCCCCACTTAACCTGGTTCAAGATCCGGTACCCTTATTAATGTTATGTGCTCCCTCCCCTGGCAGTTTCCCACTACTGCCAATCCCTTTCTTGTAGTATTATGATACATGTTCAGGATCCACTTATGAGTGAGAATATATGGTACTCAGTTCTTTGTTTCTGTGATAAAAATCACGGACTATGATAAACTCTAAATCCATCCAAGTTGCTGTGAAGTCCATAATTGTGTTCTTCTTTATGGTTGCATCATAGCATATTTCTGCTCAGAGACATATCACCAAACTTCTAAATAAAGACCAAAATAAAAAATGTGAGTAATACATACATTTAAGAAAGATTAATGAAAACAAGTAAGGTAAGTATTTACCCATTTACTCTAGTTCAGAGATGCAGGTGGCCAGAGCCTCTTCAGGCATCTCAGGGTACAAGATGGGAGCCAGGCCTGGACAGGATGCCATCCCAGGGCACACTCACACACATCCATACTCACCCACACTGGAACCATGGAGACAGGCCAGTTAACCCGATGGACACATCTCTGGGATTTGGGAGGAAACCAAAGTACCCAGAGAAAACCTGCACAGACATGAGGAGAATGTGCCAATAGCCTTGGCTGGGAATCAATTGTTTTTTCTTATCAATGTTATAACAAAATGACTGAATGAAACAGTATTATTTGAGGACCTGCTTTATTATTAAAAGCTACGGACTGGGCTCGGTGGCTCAGTCTGTCATCCCAGCACTTTGGGAGGCCGAGGCAAGTGGATTTCCTGAGCCCGTGGATTTGAGACCAGCCCAGGCAACTTGAGGAGACCTCATCTCTACAATAAATCAAAAATTAGATGGGCATGGTAGTGCGCACCTGTAGTTCTAGCTACTTGGAAGGCTGAGGCAGAAGGATCGCCTGAGTCTAGCAGGTCAACCCTGGAGTGGCCATGAACATGTGTGCCACTGCACTCCAGCCTGGGTGACAGAGTGAGACTCCAACTCAAAAAAAAAAAGCTATTCATACAGTTTTAAATCAAACTCTCAGAAAGCTTGGGGTTTTTAAGCCTTTGGGTCTGAATTTTCATTAGGGGCACATTTTATATGTTGTAAAACTATGATTATTAATAGGAAGAATATACATTTTTGAAAGCAACATGTTGATATAAAATGTTACCCAGTCCTTTCCAGTCTACTCTCAGGAACTCCCTGCACAAGGATTATAGTGTAAGATCTGGACAACCACAAAGAAGAGACAGCTCATGGCTGAGAGTCGAATAAGAACCCAGGAAGGACTAGGGGCTTGAAGATGTTCTTCTGGCACTAGACTTTCCATAACAGCTGGAAGGTAGGACCTGGACACGTTGGTGCCTTGGTCTTTGTCACTAGGGAGTAGGAAAAGACACTAGATAAATGTAAAAGAGAGAAAAATCAGAGCCCTATCATGAGTGAGGGAAAAAAAACACTTTCCATAAACTTAAGGCCAGTGAACCAAAGATGGAAACCACTTGTTAAACTAAAAACTCAACCACATGCTTGCTGGATTGAAGATAGCCAATTCTGGGTTCCACCATGAGAATATCTAAAAGTCAACGTGTAACTTGGTATTTCACAGCACTATTTCACTCGCTAGACATAAGGCATCTCCCTTCCCTCAGTGCATCATTGAGCTTGTTCAAGAATGCCCTTGACAGCAAGGTGTGTGGCTCACACCAGTTGAAGTGACTTGGCTTTCACAAGATGAAGTCCTGGCAGAGTTTGGGGTAGGAAAAAACAGGGATGACTCAAGACTCTGATCAAACAGAGACAGCAAATACAATGCAAAACATACATCTGAACCCTGGTACTCCAAATCCAAGCAAGAAATAATGCTTTCTCTTATGATGTGGTCATCGCTGAGGTGGCAGCTACATTATCCCAAGTGTTCCATTTACACCCACCAAGCACAAACAAACCGACCAAGAAATATGTCCCTCAAATTCTTACCACAAGTTGGTCACTAGTTGATCCCCTTATATAATTCAGATACTAAAAAGCTTCTGAAGTTTTCTTTAAATCTTAAGTCTGACGGAAATGATAAATAGTGGTGCATATAGGCTCTTTAACAATGTCTTAAGAGGAAAAAATGATGGCATTGTAGGACAAATAACTTTTGTGGTGAAAAATGAAACCATGAATGTGAGCTTGAAATAAAATTGCTGAGGTTAAAAACACACAGTTGTAGTAAATATGTCTATTAGCAGCCAAAAATAACTACTACCAATTATGGTGTGAATAAGTGATGGATTTTTTGGAAAGAAGTCATTTTGACACAGAAATTATTTCCAGAGAATCTACTCCATAGGATACACTTGATTAATACACAGGTGAGAAGCTACATGCCTTGCTTTCAAAGATGTAAAGACGAGCTGAGATTTTAGCAATTTAAAACTTACTCTGCTGACCATATAAAATAGGGGGGAAAGCTAAAATCCAGGCTCATTAGAGAGTAATGTGGCAACATTGAAGCAGACTAGATGTCAAATGTTACCTGGCGCTTATCTAATATTCATCCTTTTCTTAAAAGATTAGTGATTTCCAAACATGTAAGACAACTGCCCAGCATGACATATAGATAAATTATTATTTTACTATTGGATGGAAACCACTTCCCTCTCTTCAAAATTGTGGGCCTTCTCCAAGGCATTTAATGTAACAACCTCTATTCCCACTTGCAGCCAAACATGTGAGCTTTGAGTTTCATCCTCCAGGACTTGTTGTACAGATTGCACTACTTCATAAACATCCCTTGCTTGAATAGCCTGAGGGTATGTGTTTTGGTTAAAAATAACATCAGGTAAAATATATTATGACAATAATCAGCAGCAGTGATAAACCTACTGAATAAATGCCTAAAATATTTCAAGCATTGCAGCTGTGTGAGAAGACAGCAGCTGCCTCGGAGGAAAGTAGGAATGGAAATTTTTCTCTCAGAATCTGAATGAAAAGAGTAAGGATGAGAACAAGAGTCAGAAAAAACAGGCAGAGGGTAATGTCACTCAAGAACAGTCAACTCTGCCCCTTGCGTCATGTCTACATATAACAAATCACATGAACTAACAAATATTAATGACACCACCTGGGCCACACTCCATTTAGAGAGAGAGGGGTCTTGGGTGTCCATCATCTCTTCATCTGGCCTCTACTGCGCTCACATGTCAGTGACTCCTAATTCCAGACTGCTGCTGGATATCCCTACACGGAAGTCTTACCAACACCTCAAACTTCACATGACCAAAACAAACTCCTAACCTTCCTCCCCAAATGTGCTCCTGTTCCTTTTCCCAAGTCTCATGAATGCTTCCCAGTATTCCCAGTTAGAAAACCGGAAGTCATCCCAGATTCATCTTCCCAAACTGAATTTGTCACCAAGACACATGAATTCTGCCTGATAACCCAACCCAGCCCCTTCCTTCCCTGTTCACTGTCACTGCCCTGGATTAGCTCCTCATCATCCACGATTTTAGATGAGATGCCATAACCCATGTAATAGTTTAGCAAAGTACTTGGCACATAGCAAGAATTCAAATGTCAGCCATCAATATGAAAAAACTTCGGAGGCAAAAAAACAAAATTAAGACTATTATTTGCAATCAACTAGCCTTTGTTAAAAATCTTGGTTCTATTACATACCACCTGAAATTTAGACAAATTACTAATCATCTTAAACTTCAGTTTTCTACAGTGTAAAATACCAATAAATAGTAACACCTCTCAAAATGTTGTAGTGAGATTTGTATGAAAAGAGGCATTTAAGAAGCTTATCTCAGTGCCTGGCATGTAAGTGCTCAATAAGTATTAGCTATGATGACACTTGATCACAGCCAAAAGGCCAAGAAGCAATAAATGTAAGCTACTACTACAACTACTACTACTACTACTACTACTACTACTATTATGACTATTATTATTATTAAACTATTATACTAGACTTCTAGTACATAACCTTGCAGTTTCATTCTCTCTAGTCCGAATCCCACCTAACTACAATACTTTTCTAAAATGCTAATCTGATCATGAAACTAATTCCCTTGCCACAATAACTTAATGACTGCCCTACCATAGATAGAATACAACCCTGATATGATATAATACATGAAGAATTTCTTTACACAGATGCTGCCTACTTTTCTATATCTCATCCAACTCAGTTTTCTGCTTGCATCTCACTGCTCTATTTGTCTTCTAAAAGCCTATGCTTCCTCCTGCCTTCTTGTCTGATTGCTTCTCTGATGTGGAATGTCAACTTATTTCTCTAGCAAAACTAATTGATGACCACCTGTGCTCCCTTTCTGGGTCCAGTTAAGTGTAAGCTCTTTGAAAGGACACCTGTCCCTACTAAGGTGGGGGCTGTCATCTGTTATGATGGCAGTCAATGCACACATCTGTTAGAATATGTATTATTGTGCCTATCTGAACTTTTTTGTTTATTTAACCATCTCCCCATCTTTGCTGCAACCTCTTGAGAGCGGACACTATGTCTTTTTCATCTCTGCATCTCCATCACCTAGAACAATATCAGCATACAAATGGTGCTCATGAGATATTTGCTGCTAAAATAAATGAGAGCATAAGATCAGCCTTGCAAAGCCCAAATATCAGCAGAAATCATAAAGACCTACAGAAGAGAATGCCACCCAGAAATTAATAAGAAGACTATCAGAAGTCATTTAATTCCATTTTACAGAATCCCAGTTTTAGAGTTTGGGAGGCTCTTGTAAGAACTGGAGCACTTAATAGATGAGGAACCCAAGGAAGTCAAGAGACTCAATAATCCAGTCCTCTTTTGATGGACAGCATGGTTGGTTTCATCATCTTGCTATTGTGAACAATGCTGCAATGAACATACGTGTGCAGGTACCTTTTTGATAGAGTGATTTGAGTTCTTCAGGGTATATTCCCAGTAGGGGGATTGTGGGGTCATATGGAAGGTCGATTTTTAGAGCTTTTAAGAGTCACCACACTGATTTCCACAGAGGCTGCACTAGTTTACACTCACACCAACAGTGTAGAAGTGTTCCCTTTTCACCACATCCTCTCCAGCATCTGTTATTCTTTGAGTTATTGATAATGGCCATTCTGATTGGAGTTAGGTGGTATCTCAGTGTAGCTTTAATTTGCATCTCCTTGATGATTAGTGAGGTTGAACATTTCTTCATGTGTGTTGGCCGCTCGTATGTCTTCTTTTGAGAAGTGTCTGTTCATATCTTTTGTCCACTTTGTAATGGGGTTGTTTTTTTTTCTTTTTAGCACATTTGAGTTCCTTGTAGATCCAAAATGTTAGGCCTTTGTCAGACATGGAGTTGGCAAATACTTTTTCCCAGTCTGTGGGCTGTCTCCCTGCTCTCTTGATGGTTTCTTTGGCTTTGCAGAAGCTTATCAGTTTACTGACGTCCCACTTGCCTATCTTATCTCTTATGACCCGTGTGTTTCGCGTTTTGTTCAGGAATTGGATGACAGTTCCAATTTCCATAAGGGTGTGAATGTGGTACATATACACAATGGAATATTACACAGCCATTAAAAAGAACAAAATCATGAATTTCGCAGCAACCTGGATGGAATTGGAGTTTATAATACTGAGTGATCTCTCACAGAAACAAAGATCTGAGTATCACAAGTTCTCACTCATAAGTGGACCTTTAACAACTATCATAATACGATAAGAAAAGGATTGACAGTGGCGGGAAACTATGGCAGGGACCATCAACAAGGGTACCTGCACAATGCATATTTGTATACCTAACCCTTAACTGTACCCCACAATTTTAAAATAAAAATGTTTTAAAAAATTTTTTTAAATTAAAAAAAAGAGAGACTCATTGAGTTTCCCACAACAGCCCAGGGTCCATGACTCTCTGGGGATCTCACTCCTCTCTAGTACTGCTATTCTGCTGCTCTAATGCTGCCTGTGTTACAGTAGGATTAGTTAACTAGAGCTCTTTTTGTGAAAATAACAAAAACTGCCTGTGAAATCACTTTGAAATGCAAACTATGATCTACTTAACATATATCCCTTTCCTTCAAGTGTGTTCTTCAAGCCCAAAACATGTTTTCAAGGAACACTACTCATTCTCGACACTTTGAGAAGAGAGGAGGATTCTACAGTCGAGTAACTCAGGGAAATCTTGCCTATCTCACAAGCCTTCTGGAGTTGACTTCTGCATATTACAGGCTCGGTAGTATCCTGTTTAAAAATGTATTCCAACCAACACTGGCCAAAGTAATTTAAGCATAGATATCTTTTTCTGGAGCATCACTTATCAATCAATCAACAAAACCCAAGATGGGAAACTGATAGAAATCCTTCTCCTTCATATGGAGATGTGGCCACAGGAAGTGAGATGCAGGCACATTCTCACAGAAAGGCTGCTTTTGACGCTCTACCCAACTTCTCTGAAACTAATACCTCACTCTCAGGGAATTCTCCTTCTATAGCACATTAAGGGGAAAAAAAAGTCAGGCTTTATAAACAACATTCTACACATGAAGGAAGTAACACAGACCAAATTATATAGACCTTGAAAAGAGACACAGCTTACTCATTCATACAGCAAATCTATCTACATCACTAAAAAAATCAGCTCACATAGAAAAAGTCCTGTGCTTGAAATAATATATGACTTTTGGTGTTCAAATCCTAATTCAATAATGAATGAAATACCTACAGTTATTTAACTATTTTCTGACTAAACTGTTGCAAATACTTAAAGTTTATTTGGAGCAGTGAATTATGAGCCTTATGAATCTACATAAGTTAAAAATATCTGAGCCTTCTTTTTAAAACTTCATTGCAAACATAAAACAGAGTTAATGACACTGATTATATAGCTGTGTTGGGAGGTTACAAAGAGATAATATGCCTAAAATGCTTCTCACAGAACCTAGCACATAGTAAGTGCTCATTAAAAAGTAACAATAAGTTGCCATTATTCCGTTGTATAGATGAACTCTAATTTGTGAAACTAATGCTCTACCACTGGTCATGTAGTTCAAGGGCAGGAAAAGGCAGTGGATAAAATGCCAGGGTTCAGGAGAAACACAGAACAGAGCATGAAGCCTGGCCCTATTGTTTACTAAGCATGTGACCTTGGCTAAGCTACTTAACATCTCAGTGCCTCATTTTTCTTTTCTGTAAAATAAAGATAGCAAAAGTACCTATTATAGACTTCTCATGAGAATTAGAATGATATGCCTGGCACATAAAAAGTGTAAAAATATTTTAGCTTAAAAAACAATTTCACTAATTTTTGTATTATGAATAATTTTTCTTTATTAATTATCTATTTAATTTTTTATTAACATTTTTATAATCAATTTAACATGTCAACATTGAAAGCAAGAGAATAACTTCTTAGAAATGGAATTGCTATGTCAAAAGGCTTTTGCCCAATTGTTCTACAGGAAATCTGTCCTACCAACAATGCACTAAAGGGGTCCACTCCTCCCAGTTCTGCCAGTGTTAAATATTATGGTCTTTCTTTTTTTAATGCCTTTGATTATTTGGAGGAAAAATGTTGGCATCTACTTTTGACCTTACTTAATATTCTTTATTTGTGAAGGTAAGCTTTTCTCATATTTACTACTCATCTATAGTTCTTTGGATAATTTTCTCTTCATATGTTCTGTGCATTTTTTATTTGACCAATCGATCTTCATTTAGTTTACTTACTGAACTCTTTACACCTTGGTTCACATTTATTAAATATGTTGTCAAAATGGTGATTTTTTAACACATAAGTTTTACATATTTATGAGGTCAAATCTCTCAATAATTATGGTTACTGCTTTTTGGGTAACCCTTATAAAGGCCTTTCCTAGCCAATACAAGAAACTAAATCTACTGTCTCTTATTCCAGTATTTTAGTATATTTTTATATGCATATTAAAATCTTTACTATATTGAGAAGGAGAGAGTAAAGTTTGAGGTAGAGGACCTCCCTATTTTCTAAATGTTCAGTCAGTTTTCCCAGTACCCCTTGTCAGAGGATCCATTCTCTCCCCATTAATCTCAAAACCTGGCTTACAGTCTATCATATCTGTGGGTACACTTGCCTCTGGCTCGGGGCAGGCAGCGTGATGATAACTAGCAGCCAGGGCTGAACACACCTCCCTACTGCTCTCTCCTCCCTCCTCCCTGGGCCTCATTTCTTCGCCTTGTATGGCTGAGTCCAGAAACCAATGTGAAGGCCTCTCCAGAGCAAATGCTGCCGGTCCACACAAGCCACATCCAGTCCAAGGCTGTGCTTCCCATTAACCCTCCACCTGCCTCTGCCCCTGTTCCTTGCCTCTTTCAGTGAGAGGGCTACAGTGTGAGTCTCTGAGTGTTCTACTCTTGGGACATGCAAGATGTAAGCTGTCTGCTGTTTTTCTTAAACAAGTCTCAAACTCACTCTGTCCAACAAATCTTCCTGGAAATCTCTGGCATGTGTGTGGGTGCCATTCATTCCTAGTTTCCAGCATAAGGGCAGACCTATTTTTTTCCTTGTATGCTCTGATTATCATTTCAATGGGAGTTTGGGGTGGGTAGACTGGAACACCTGAGTTCAAGTATCCATCTTGCCAGAGAGTCAAATGGCCCTGTAATAAACACTCAATCCTGTCACTCATGACTTCCAAGAACATCCTGTGCTTGGTAACATGCAGTAAACAACTCATCCACATTACCTTTGATTGCTGCTAAATATCCTCGGAGTTCTCGTTGAAGTCTGGTACCCTCTGCCTGAAAAACACAGAAGCACAGAGATACTAAACACTTAGTCTATGTGTTATATGCAAACATGTAAGAAGCAATAAGTCTCAAACTTACTACAGCCAGAAGCTCATTCTTGAAAAAACATAAATATATGGACACAAACCAAACAAGATAATAATGTCCATTGGTCTAGACAAGTGTAGAGATTTTATTCAGCTTAAAAGAGCAAAAGAAGAAGGCAAGATTTTGCTAAATGTAGAAAATATAATTTATTATACAGCCTCCTATAAAGGAAGTTTGAGACGTGGGTTATAATAGCAGGGAATTGATCATCACTATTTAGTATGATAGCCACCAGCCACAGGTGACTGTTGAGCGCTTGGAATATGGCAAGTCCAAATTGAGATGTACTGTAAGTATGTTCTATATAACAGATTCCAGAGCACAAAAAAATCCCAAATATCTATTGTTTTCATGTATATTATATTCCAGTTCCAAAAACACCTGAAATTTATTTATGAAAGTTGTGCTTTCATTAGCAAAAACATGGAACCAACCATGCTGCCCATTGAAGCTGAACTGGATAAAAAAAATATGGTACATATACACAACGGAATATTATGCAGCCATAAAGAAGGACAGACATATGGACTTCGCAGCAGCTTGGATGGATTTAGTGTCGACCATACCAAGTGATCTATCACAGAAACAAAGAAGAGAGTACCATATGTTCTCATTCCTAAGTGGACCTTGAACAATTATAATACTATAAGAAAGGGATTGGCAGTAGTGGGAAACTGTCAGGGGGTGGAGGATGGGATTGGCAGTTGAGGGAAACTGCCAGGGGAGGGAGGGACACACCTCATCAACAAGGGTGCCTGCATAATCAACGTTTGTATACCTAACCTTTAATTGTACCCCATATCTTTATAATAATAAAATAAAATAAAAAAGAAAGTTGTGCATTTATTCTTACATGTTTAAACCTCAGTCACCTTCAAAATACTCTCTGTTGGGTGCAATACACCTATTGAGATGCTTTTTCCACTGCTCAAAACAGGTTTTGAATACTTCAGTTTTGATGCCTTTTAGTGTTTCTGCCGTTTTTTGTTTCATCTATTCCACATTAATAAAATATTTCCTTTTGAGAATTTTTTCATGGGGGGAACAAAAAAAAAAAGTCGCTCAGGGAGACATCAGGTGAACAGAAAGGGTGGGGTAGAGGGGGCCATGCCATTTTTGGTCAAAAAATGCTAAACATTCAGTGTACTGTGGGCAGGTACGTTGTCATGGTGGAAGAACCAGTCATCTGTTTGCCACAACTTGGGACATTTATTTTGCAAATCATGGCACAATCTTCTCAAAATTTCCAGATAAAAACTTTGACCATTTAATCCAGAGGAACATATTCTGAGTCTACTGCAAGGAGCCCACTCTCCAAAAGATAATTCCAGTTTTGGGGGATTGCCCCTGATATTTTATATAGATTGTGTATTAAAATGATAATATTTGGAATAAATTGAGTTTAAAAAGCTACATTATTAAAATTAATTTCATCTTTTCTTTTCACTTTTTAAAATATGGCCACTCAAAATTTTTTTACCTATGTATGTAGTTTTATTATATTTTTATTGGACTGCATTGAAATAGATGAATTTCTGACTGGGTGCAGTGGCCCATGCCTGTAATCCCAGCACTTTGGGAGGCTGAGGCAGACGAACTGCTTGAGCACAGGAGTTCAAGACCAGTCTAGGTACTATAGTGGGACCTCATCTACAACAAAATAATAATAATAATAATAATAATGATAAGTAAATAAATTAGCTGGATGTAGTGGCACATGCCTGTAGGTCCAGCTACTCAAGAGGCTAAGGCAGAAGGATCACCTGAGCCCAAGAGGTCAAGGCTGTGATGATCCATGATCGTGCCACTCCACTCCAGCGAGGCAGAATGATACCACGACTCAAAAAGAAAAAAAAAGAAGAAGAAAGAAGGAGAAGGAGAAGAAAGAAATTGTTAAACTGTAAATTCTGTCATATGAATGCTTGTTTTGATTTGAATTCCCCTTAGAAACTTAGAGACTCTGAAACTAGGATTAACTTGTTAGTAGTTTAATTATGAGTTAATCCTGGAAATGCTAATAAGAGAGTGGAGAAGTGTCAGGAGCCGCAATCACTAGTAAAAGTAAGGTAAAAAGGACCTGAAAACAGGAAAAACACCGGCTGGGAGCAAGGCCCCAGTAAAATGCAGCCATGACAGAGGCAAAGCCCCATGGATCCTGTTGACGGACCTTCCCTAACTTTGAAGGATTGCGTGCATAGACTTGAGAATGTTCCCTCTTTAATTGAGATCATAGATGTGCAAATGGATGATAGCATTTGACAGCAAAAATTATACATAGGCATAATGGAGGTGAGATTGCAGCAAAAAGGGTGTCCCTTAGGATGTGTAAGGATGTTTTTCAGTAAACAGCAGGAGGCCGAGAAGAATGAGTCAGCCACTTTCTCATAAACAATAGACCCCAGCTGAGAGCTGGTGGAAAACAACCGTTTGAGATAAAAAATAGGTTAAGATATTTTAGGATTAAATAAGATAGAATTTAGAATATTAATAATAAGATAGTAAGATAAGATAAACTAGTAAGATAAGAGATATATAATAGTATAAGTGATAGTTAAGAAAATATAGAGACATAAGGATAGAAATAAGATTAATAGAAATAAATATATAGTAGTAAGTAAGCTAAATAAGACAGGGTTAAGGTTTAGCTTTATAGGGTAAGGATATTATAGGCCTATAATAGTAAATAGTTATGAGAAAGTTAGGAAGAAAACCAGGACGTTCATAAATGTTTGACTTAAGAAAAACACCATCAGTGGTTGAAATTGTCAAAGGTCAACCTTATTGTGAGTGCAAAAAGGATGTACATGGGCATTTGGTTAGCAACATAAGATACATTTGTGGGTACAGGACTGAGTGGAAAACCTATATAAGCTTGTGAAAAATAAATAAAAATTGGCAGAGTCTTGAGCTCTCCCCAGGAAGAGAATTCCTGTCGTTTTCGTCTTTTCTTTTTGCCGCTTCCCGATTCTCCCATCTCAAGCCCTGACTCTCTCCTGGAGCTGGACTCCAGCAGAGAAGTGAGGCAGGAAAGGAAGAAAGCCTATATAGAGTGCATTATCAAGCAACTTACCACTGTGGTCAACTGGGCCTCAGTCCCACTAGGGAACTCTGAGAGACAGTGTCGATCAAATACCCTAGAAATACCTTAACTAAAGACCAGAGAAGTTGAAGTGTTTATCCTGTCAGTCATTGATCTAGGGATACTCCTGGGGAACATTAATTTGCCAGTATTTCAATCCCAGGGAAGAGAGGTTTCCAGAAGCTAAAGAAAGAGGTGCCTCAGGAAAAGAGCTATCAATATCAAGTCAGTCTAAGTACTAATCTGCTATGACACAAAATATCAAAAATAAATATAAAAGTTACATGCATTTTAGTGGCATAATCATTTAACAAAATTGCAGTTCAATAGTAAGACAGCCATTACAACAGTCAAATTCAATTCAGAAAGCACTTGTTAGTATTTACCCAAAAGTGTGGTGGTAGAGAAAACCTCCTTTCTCAGTAAATTATAATCTAGCAGGGGAATAAAAATAACTTTTAAAAAAATTGTCCTGCAAGTCAAATTGCATTTAGCATTTCAACAAGTCCAAAGGAAAAAAAAAAACATTTCATCTAAAGTTATATAGTGATTAACAGAAAAAAACTCTGAAAAGAAATGTTTATTGTAAAGTCTATGGTTGAATCCAAAAAAGATTCTGGATTAGGATATTTTCCATACAGCGCTTGTTTCATGTGTGTATAGTGACATTATTTCTATAAAATGTATATAACTCTCAGGCAAGGTTTTCTGTGTTTTGGTTAAGCTCAAATTATTTTGGCAGCTCTGTAAACCCAGCTACTAACAGATAAAAGCTCAAGGTATTTAATTTGCTGGCACATATGAACTTCAACCAGAATAGTTTTACTTAGAATGGTGAAACCGAAATGATGAGAGTTCTAAACAGCTGACTTCCTTTCTAATGTCTCATCATGGTTTCAAGTCAAAACTCTAGGTTTCCATTGTCTTGCTGAGGGCAGTTAGAAATATAGTGTGATAGAAAACTTCCATGAGCTAGAAGGAAAAAAAAAGCAAACTGTGGTAGAGTTCCAACACAGCCAAGTATAGTAGAAAATGACTTTCCTGGTGGAAAGGATAGAAGAATGAAGAGAAGATGTTGGTGTCAATCACTTGAGCAAAAGCAAAAGATGAAGAGGATTCAGAGAGGTCAACATGAAGTCCTCAACACCATCAAGACAAAACATTGGAACAAGAGAAGTGGGTCGTGCTCTCACAGAATATGTATTATGTGACAGGTATGGTGTCAGATTCTTAATAAATAAAAAGCTTAAAAACACAACATTAGGAGATTTTATTGGTATCAATCTATACTGCATCTCCCAACCAGATGGGTCTTTGGAGTAAAAACACTGTTTCTGCCTCAGGTGTAGCTGTAGGACTTGATAAGGCCAATGAAATGTGAGTGGAAGTAGCATGTGTTACTTCCAAGCTGAAGCTATAAGAACCATTCTGGTCTTGCTACATTTCCTTTCAGTCTCCAAATAGGAGTTGTTTCTCTAACTTGGATCCCAGAGTAAAGGGACCACAAAGCACAGCCACCATTCACATTTTCATGAGTGAGAAACAAACCTCTGTAGTTAAAAGTCACTGAGAAATTGCTACCATAGCATAACCAAGCCTAAAAGTCCTGATAAAATGATTCACCATCAATAGTGGAAATGCAATAATGCAGAGAAGGCTGAAATTTAACAACAACCAGAAAGCCCAACAGAGCTAATGAACAGAAAAGCACTAAAGACATTTATTGAAACATCTCAGAAAGGAAACCAAATTGGAAAGATTGAGGACAAAGTGGATGGTTAGCAAATAGAAGCCCAAGTGGTGGCCCAGTGATAGAAGGAGATAG